AATCCAATCAATCAATCAATCAATCAATCAATCAATCAATCAATCAATCAATCAATCAATCAATCAATCAATCAATCAATCAATCAATCAATCAATCAATCAATGATGTGCCCCAAGAGCATTTGAGAACTGGGCAATCTATACTTTGAAGATCCATCACTTCATCAAAATGATTTTTTTTAATGGTTCAGGAAAGGTATCACCAACTCCTGCATTTGTGTAATCCTGAACCACACAGCCTTTTCTTAATTCTCAGTTCATCAGTGTGGATATTGCCTCCATGATGCAAATCACAGCTATTCCAAACTAATTTTTTGACAGTAAAGTTAAGTAACAATATGAGTGTATACTCTAAGATGGCATTCCTTCCAAGAAAAGGAAGTTCCTGTTTTAAGGCTGGAAAGGCGAATGGCTACATTGTTTTAATGGCCCAGAAGGTCTTACTATTTGTATGCTACAGATGCCAGCTTCAAGGGGAATGACTTTTGTGTATGATCAGTTCATACTAAATTATTTGCCTCATCCATGATTATATTCTGTGTGTTCTCCTTGTTCCCTCCCGCCTTCATTCCTTCCATTTGTTGCTTTTGCTTATATTTTAAAATATAATAGGAACTGTAAAAAAGGAGAAAAAGGGAGAGAAAGGCAGGGGACATGCCCATATACATTTTATTATACAATGATGAGCAGCATTAAAAGGAGTACTTTGATTAATAGCATTTAAGAAAGTTTAGGTTTAACAAAGATTTTCATGTTAGGATCCACCAGTTCAAATGTACTGTACTGTAGATAGCAATCCTGCATCCAATTCCCTTTATTAATAAATCTCTTTGGCTTTATCCCACTCATAAAGGCATTTCCTGTAATAACTGGCAACACATCGGGAGAGCACCAGGTTGCAGAAGGCTGGGTTAAACATTGGCTGTTCTTTCTTACTGATACAGTGAAGTTCTCCTGTCGTTCTGTCCCATATACATATTTACATAGGCCTGGACATAACATATGGAGAGACTGTTCTCTGTGACAGCACAGTATAAGAGGCACTCACCTTACCTGAGGCAGGAAAATGATTAACATATGGAGAGACTGTTCTCTGTGACAGGACAATATAAGAGGCACTCACCTTACCTGAGCTTCCCTCACATCCTGTCTTTTTTCTTTCTTTTCTCTTTGTGTAGTTTTCACATGCAGTGATGAAAATCTTTGCATTTGCCTGTATATCAGTGTGCAACTGGTTATGAAGTAGCAAGGCTTGCTATAATGCTTTGTAAGTTCCTGTAAGAAATTCTTCTTATAGTGGTAAATGAATAAGCAAACAAACTTAAACGGATGCAAACTTCTGTTTTGGTTCTCCTGAGAGTTTAGCATTCCAGATGTTGCTGAATGATTGGATACTGTTGGTTTTCTGAATGAAGTTGTAACCCAACATTTGCAGGATTATGTCCCTCATTCCTAGCTCACAGCATAATTCACACTGCTGCTAATCTCAAGATTTAAATCCATGTATGCATCACTTGCTTTAAAGTATGGATTCAGTTAAACATACAGTATATCCAAATTCAACAAGAATCAAATTTATTTAACTTTAAGAAAAAATGTAGATTGCAGTTTTAGGAGCACTGAATGAGAAATAGGAGAGAAATAAATTAGGCAACTTTCTGAACAGATAGATTGAAATATAAAACACTATCATGTATGAAATTAAGTGCATCACTTGCTTTAAAGTATGGATTCAGTTAAACATACAGTATATCCAAATTCAACAAGAATCAAATTTATTTAACTTTAAGAAAAAATGTAGATTGCAGTTTTAGGAGCACTGAATGAGAAATAGGAGAGAAATAAATTAGGCAACTTTCTGAACAGATAGATTGAAATATAAAACACTATCATGTATGAAATTAAGGTTGGACTTCAGACAGCAAAAGTCTGGAACTTTCTAAAATCTTTCTGAACAGATAGATTGAAATATAAAACTCTATCATGTATGAAATTGTTGGACTTCAGACAGCAAAAGTCTGGAACTTTCTAAAATCTAGAAGTAAAAATCCAGTATATTTGTATTTTGCCAGTTTTCATGATGGCTATCTTGTTCTCTAATATTTCATTTTTTTTAATTTTTAATTTTACAAAATAAACCTACTACTACAGTAAAAAATTTACATAAAATACAAAACAAAACAATACAATACAATAATATAAAATTACCCTTGTGCACCCATCACCTTCAGGACTAGCATTACACTTCTTTCCATCCATTTTCACTCCAAAATTTCATTGTTTCTTCTCTCGGTGTAAACCCCCTCCCTCTCCGAAATACATGTTCTAAAAATGCATTCCATATTTTCTTAAAATAGTTATTTTTCATTTGGCCTCTACTTATTTTCATATCACATGTCAGTTTATCGTTAATTGCCATGTCCCATAATTCTCTATACCATTCCTCCAAGTTAAATTGATTATCTTTTCTCCAGTTCCTTGCAATAATTATCCTTGCTGCCATAATCATTATTACTATTAAGTCCTTATTTTCTTTCACCAGTTGATCTTCCTTAATCAGATTCAATAAGGCTATTAACGGAGACATTTGAATATTCAATCCAATTATTTCAGATATTTCTTTAAATATTAATTTCCATTCTTTCTTTCACCACATGTGTAAATACGTCCTCTTTTTTACACCTCCAACATAATATTGACACACTTTTATCCATTATATTCATTTTAACCGGTGTTAAATACCACCTCCATATTACTTTATAACAATTTTCTTTTATCCTTACTGACATGTTACTTAAATATCTACTGATGAAGTTGCAAACACAATTTCACAAAGTGAGTCTCTTCCTATTCACAGTTATATAAAAGACAACATGAGCCATTATAACAACAAAATACTACAATTCGTGCAACCAGGTCCTAGGCAACAGCACCAATTCTATAAGCACCAGAAGTTGTTTATAGAATTACAAAGCTCAAGTGTCCTTTTGAATTCAAATTCAGACAGAAAATCCAAAATATCTTCTTCGACTGGGTTGGGTAACTATAACATAGAAGAATCAGTGACACATGCAAAATCTTCAAACCCCTAAAATAAAATATCAGTCCCATTGCATGTGTGGATTGACCCCTCCAACAAACAAACAAACAAACAAAAATAGAAATCATACCTAGACGAAGTTGGCAAGGGCCTTAGAAATCTAAGTGGCAATAGCAGCTCCCGCCTCATCAGCTCTCCCACTCTTTCTGATTCAAATCTCTTATTCACAGCCCTGCTCTTTTTTAGTCTCACCCTTCGGGCTGAAACAATATTTCATAAGGGTTACATCAACTAACTAGAGATGGAGGTATTTGTATATGAATATCCTTGCACAGTTGGACTTAACGAGGGTCCGGCCCCTGGGCCCAGACCATCCACTCGTGTGTCCGGCGGCAGCAGTGACCTCTCTCATCCTTCCAGTCACTCCCGGAGCTCCACTCTCTTGCTGCTCACCTGACCACTCCAGGCAGGGGGAGGGAGGATGAGTCTCCCTGCAAGGCTGCTGAGTTGCTCTCCGAGCAGGAAGAGAGCGGAGCTCCGGGAGCAATTGGAAGGATGACCGAGGCCACTGCCGCCACCGCCAGATGTGTCAGTGGATGGGCCAACTGCAGGGGCCAGCCCTTCCTTAAGTCCAGCTGTGCGGAGATATTCCTATACAAATACCCCCATATCTGCAGCTAACTGTATCTGTTATTTCTCAGCCAACTGTTTTCTCTCATTCTCTTGCTCTCTCTGCTTTTTTTCAGGCTTATATCAAACACTGCCATCAGATTTTTGCCTGCTGTTAACCAGATACACTCTTTGCAGAAGGTTGTGCTGTAAGTTTTTTTTTAATTGTATTCCTCTGATATTGGAGATTTCAAGCATATTTATTCATGCACATGTGTGTACCTGAATGGGTGAGTGGGTCTGTCTGTCCATTGTGGAGGAAACTTGAAGGAATTCAAAGGATAAATTGTTTGAAGTGAGTTCATCCATACTAGAGGTGGAACAAATGTTGAAGGAGAAATCTCAACCGGAATTATGTTTAAACCTCTGCAAATAAACATGGGCTACTGATTAAAAGAGCACAGCTTTTGGAGTTATTCTAAAGATTTTTAAATACCATTCGTTTTAAGTAAGTAAATTGATTGTGTTGCCGGGGACACAATGCTTGGAAATGTTTGGGTTTGGGCATAGGGGGTCTCAGAATCCTTGAAGACAGCTTGACCACTGGGAATTGTAGTTCACAAAGGAACTATTCCTAGCTCTGGAGAAGGCACAGTTCTTGTTCCTGAAGAGCAAACAGACTTATCATCAAGGACCAGAATTTTTGAGACAACATCTCTTCTGATACACAGACAAATCTTTCAAGACCTGCTTCTAATTCTGAGCATTATTAGGGTGGTGGTTATGGGTAACAGAACTTTTGGGCCAGTGTATCAA